TATAAGCTCAATTTATTTATCTCTTTCTAGTAAATTGGAGAAAAGGCTTATATTGTTCTTTTTTGCTTGCTTTGGATGGCCTTAAGTTTAATGACAATATTATTGTAGTGAGCATGTTACTGTCAGCGTCCCCTTATCGTAGATCTAGTACTAATCAAGACTAGATCTACATCTAGATAGTTTGCCAACAGAATTAATGTTCATAATTAGTGTTATTATCAAGTGTATTGTGATTGTGAAGATCTTTAATAGATCTAGATATCTAGAGATCGAGATCAATCTTGATCCTGATCTAGATCCCATCCCATCATTTTAAAAAACAACAAACCAACAATACAAATACAAAAACATTGTAACATTGCCAAATATGACATATTGTAGGCAATAAAAATGTACTAGACTATTTCACTATATTTCCTCTTCGAAGAAAGTTTTAAAATACTGATGTAAGGTGTCTTCCAAGCCCTACCACTAGCATCAGCGTGCATAGCAACGCGAAGCCTCGCTGTGCGGCGCAGCCAAAGGTGCCCTCAACCGGCCGCCATGTTTTAGTTTCAATTCCTCACAGCGAATCGGCGATCGCGAAGAGGGAGTTCCGCTTCTATAAGTGTAGAATTCTGTGGGCTAGATCTATACGGGTTGCGCACTTATAATAGTGCTCAGTATTGCGCGACAATCCGCGATAGTATCGAACGGAAGTAGATCTACGACTTGAAACTTGAAATAAACCAACCTGGCGGATTTTCTAAAAGTACAGAGACAGAAGCGTCGGCCTACAAAAGCGATGGGCGAAATAAAGAAATTTAGCTTTTTGCAGCAAAACTGTCTCAAAACTGAAAAAAAAAAAACGAAGGGCGTCATGATCTGGAGAATATTTTAAAGAATCTTTTGGCGAAAACGCATGTCGATCGATGCAGCCATTAAAAAGGCTTTTGAATAGCAAAATTCGGCCACCACAAATAGATAATAGATATGTATAGTTTTCCTGCCAAAGCAGAGTGCACAATCAATAAGAAAAGATCGCGATCGACTGTCTCGCCAAGACCGAATAGATATACAGTCGAACCTGTATAAGACGGCCACCCATTGTCAAGGAGAAAAGTGGCCGTATAAGACAGGTGGCCGTCTTAGGCAGGACTGATCAAGATGAAGAAAACAAACCATTCCTTTCTGAGAAAACAAACCCTTCCTTTTTGAGGTCCCAACCGAAGGTAGTTGCATTGTTGTTGTTGTTTTCGCTGGGTTTTCTTTTCTTTTGTTGCTGTTTTTGTGCACGGGTGACAATAAAACGAAATGTGTCAGACAAGGGGGACCGAGTGCTATGGAAAAACAAACACACGTACTACCACTCGGAGAACAAGCGACGCCTCTGTCACAAGTTCATGCTGACGTCCATTGTTACTTTGTTACAGACTGGGTAAAGAGTGACAACTCATCTCACTTGCAATTTGTGTAAGGGTTCTGGGCGGGGCTTTTGGGTTATGAGGGATCACACGCTTACCTCCCCAGCAACTGAAAATTAATTTTATTACCTATTGGTCAACAGTGGGAGGGGCCTACGCAACATGATCAGTTGGAGGGACTACCTAACAACGACAGGTTTTTAGATTATGACGTCTCGCCCACAACGCCAGGGGCCGATGCTTGATTTATGACAAAGCGTAATGGAGTCACTAAGGTGGCCGTCTAAGACAGGTGTTATTGCTTAGTGTGATAGGGGTTGTGTGTTGAAATATGGTGGCCGCGGCCGCGTTGACATGTGCCCGTTTTACACAGTTAAATTATATAGAAAAAACGCAAGGGGGGAAATGGAAAGTGTCCGTTTGTACAGGTGGCCGTCTTATAGAGGTGGCCGTCAGGGCAGGTTCGACTGTAATCGTATAGTATGAACGTAACTGTGCAAACACGTCTAAAGCCCCCATCGACCAAATTCAAATCTATTCGGAGGCGGGCGGCTTCGACCCTGTCTCTCAGGGCAAATCCGGGCTGAAAGGGATACAACATTCCATCCATAGATTTACACTTTAAAAGGAGATAACTTTATGATTCCAGCTTAACTTTCCCTCCATTTATGCAGCAGCAGTCTAGTTCCGGAAAAAAGAATAAAAACCAAAAAATCTTTTCATACATGTTTATGTTTTAAAAAGTTAGATGATCAATCATGTCTCACTTTATCAAAAGCCTTTGAAAAAATTCCGTGGATCATAATATAGAACTCTCCTTTAACAATGTTAGGGTGACTGTAATACTTCAGATACCTTAGTCTGTTACCCTTCCCCCCCCCCAAAGAAAAAAGTAAGAAAAGGAAAAAAAAAAAAGAAAAAAAATACAATAAAAAAATAAACATAAACATAAATAAATAAATAAATAAATAAATAAATAAATAAATAAATAAATAAATAAATTCATTAATTAATTTTAAAAAACTAATAAAAAACAGCCCCAAAAAACGAACTTGTGGCTTAGATTAAGCTTTTTAATATTCTTTTCCAGTAGTTCCTCACATTTTTTAAACTCATGTCTCATGACATTATTCTATGCAACTCTTGTAATCTGACCACCATCATAGACAAAATTGAATTTTTTGCTGTCGTTGTAGTTTAAATGCCCAATTCAATTATTCAATTGATATGACAATCATTACGATTGGAACCAGGACGTGTAGTTTTGCCTTTTCTAGTTTCATTTTGTTTATGACAGTTTGTAATTATTTTTTTTCAAAATTGGTGCTTCTTTTACTCACTTGTGTATCGCAGGTTTTTTCTCATCTGTTATTTTCTAATACCTCTTCGTGGTATTTTGACCATAATACTGACTTACTTTTATCCGACGCTTATACCCTTTTGGGTGTCTCGGTATTGACCATAATTATTTGTTAAATTCGTTTTTAACCATCCTCTTTGTTTATTAAAATATCCCTTAATTTTGATCTTTTGCGGCCTGTATATTTGAACATCCTTTCTTTCCATTTACTCCGTTGATTTTGGAATGCATAATTTAATAATGTATCTGCTATCTTTCTTTTGATTCTTCTCTATTTATTGACTTTGTTGATTATTTATTCCTCTTTCTTTTGCTTCTTTTTGCTACACCCCCCTCCCCCCATTAAAAAAAGAAAAACTGATCTCCGTATTTAAAGCCTCTATTGTCGTGGAGTACAAAAGCATGGGACGTTAATGCTTCATTTATACACAGAAATGGTGTTAACAAAGCCTTTCCTGGAGGCCTTTCGTCTGAATCTAAGCTGCGGAATTGGACAGGATTATCGAGACTACAAGTCTAGAGAGAGTTTTGTTGTTGTTGTTGTTGTTGTTGTTGTTGTTGTTGTTTTTTTCGATTCAGTCTCCTGCATAATGAAAACTTCATTTTAAAGACACATTTTTTGGTCAATAAGTAGTAAAACTTCTTTAAAAGGGAAAGAAAGACGATTTGGGGATTACACTCAAAGGTAAATGTAAGGCAAGTTGAACATCGGAGTGGATATCTCATATTTTATGTGTGTTATACTGTTAGTAAATGTCTGGTAACTCTTGCTTTTGTTTGGCGGTCCGACCTACCCCCCCCCATACAACACTCACAAAAGAAAAGAGTTGGCAGTCGGAAAGAATGTTAGTGGAACTGATTGCCGAAAATGTTAAGATTTTTCTCCATGTCCCTCTATCTGTCGTCCCTCCGAAGAGCTCTCAGGGGGCTCTCGAGGCCTAGAGGTTAAAGGTGTTCGTCTCTCATTCAACGGTCCCGGGTTCGAAGCTGGGCAGCTTCCAAAACATTAACTTCTCTAAATAAAATTGTCTTCTTTCACCTTCTTTCCCGCACTCTAGCAATGTTCTGTCGTCTGATTTGGTCCCTACTTTCTGACCCCATCCCACCCCCTTTGCTCCCTCCTCTGGGCTTCTGACTCTTTCTATTGCTACTCCTTGGCTCCTTCTTACTGCTGTCTTTCAGCAACACCCCTGATCTTCTGGTAGGAAAGATCTACACCAAGGGATCTTTAACATGCGCATCTGGTCCCGTGTGCAAGATGCGCACGTTAAAGATCCCTTGGTGGTCTAAAATCGATAAGAGTAAGCTTCGGCCTTCACCCGGGCAAAATTAAAGCTAGCACCGTTAAATACTTACCAAAAAAAAAGAAGCTCTTTTGGAGAGAGAGAGAGAGTGAGAGAGAGAGAGAGAGAGAGAGAGA